TGTAGTTCTCCAGGATATATATATATATATATATATATATATATATATATATATATATAGTAGTTATTGATTAGCTAATAGTGAACTACCAGTTGCAACTGAGCACTATTACTTACTAAACTGTTAATCATATTTTCTTGTTAGGCAATAGTAGTTACTACAATGTTAATAGTGCATTAGTCATTTGTTCTTGTGTAGTTATTCATTACCGATGGAACAGTATTCTAAAGCGTTACTCAAAAGACATTTTATATACATGACGATTTTTTCCAAGCCATCGGAAATTATGTGGTTACTGATTAAATCCATATGCCCAACATTATTTTTGATTTTATTAAAACCTCTGACTGGACTTATACGTTCTTTTCTCTCTCTCAGAGGGTGAAGGGAGACCATGTCTTCGACTGTCACCATTGTATAATGGTTACTACAAGTTGGTTCCTGACCTCCTTCCAGAAACAGTGGAGTTCTTCTGTAACCTGTCTTATGCTCTGAGTGGCAGCGCACGGAGGACGTGTCAGCATAATGGCACCTGGTCTGGCACGCAGCCCATCTGTATGAGAGGTTGAAGCAGTCTCCGATTTCAGCACTCTTTTTAGCACTGAATTTACTGAAGAGATACGAAACAGTTGCAAAGTCATCCATAAAATGATTTCTACTTGCAGTTTTCAACTCGGCAGTTTTACCCTTTGCACAGAAACGCAGAATTATTTTTAGGACCACAGAGCAGTCAGGTCCTCGGTGTAACACCTCATCCAGAGGAGGGTGCTTTTTACAGTATTGTGTTTAACAGTGGCAAGCAGTGATTTCTTTAAACGAGTTTGCTGTCATTCACAGTATCAGAAATGACAATTAAGAAATATCATGGCAGGTGCTGATGTAAAAATAGGGCTGTTATCTGGAACAGCCATTAGGTGGCAGTGCCTTGCCAAATTCTTACACTTACTTAAGCTTTATTTGGACGGGATTAGTTTTACATGGAGAGGTGGGGTAAAGTAATTATTAGCAGAGCTTCTCAGTTATTATAGTCCCGTTCGAATGTGCATCTCAGCAAGCGATGAACACAATAAGCAACAATACCATGGTAGGCTGTGTTTAAATGATGCTCAATTGGTACTAAAGGCAGAGTTGACAACTTAGCAGTTATGTTGCTTTTAGCAACGTCTCAGACTACCCTAGTAATTTTACTAGTAATTTTCCAGGACGTATCCATTGTAACCTTGTAACCCAAAAACACAAAATGCAATGCGTAATTTAAAATGCAGGTTAAAAATAAAACCTGTGAAAAATCTAATTCCTTCATATTAACAGAGCAGATTGTGCCCTATTTTTACAGACTCTTCTTAGTGTGTAGCATACTAATTAACTGCTAATACAATGCTTAAAACTATAATTGTTCAGAATGTTTAGTTTTCACTAGCTAATAATAATAATGAAACAACTTAAATTGTTCAAAAATGTGTGTGTTCAATAATTAAATGTATTAAAAATAGTTATTTTATTTTAATATATTACGTATTTATATTATTTTATGAACAGATAAATTAACATATATCAAATATATATTTTTGATGAGATTTGATGCATTGACACAATTTTGTGTCGTGATTAATGACATCATTGCACAATGACATCAAGTCATTTAGCAATTTTTAGAAACAAATCGACCTTCCTTTAGCAACTTCCCCTGAAATTACTTGACAAGACTGATTAAAGGGCCCGAAGTGTGTACCAAAAATATCCTCCACACCATTACACCACCAACAACAGCTTGAATAACTGATACATGGCAGGAAAGTCATGCTTTTATGTTGTTTACGCAAATTTGACACCCTACCATCTGAATGTCAAGGCTCTTTAGACCAGGCAACCATTTTCCAATCTCCTAGTGTCCAATTTTGGTGAGCCTGTGTGAACTGTAGCCTGTAATTAGCTGACAGAATTATTTTCATTTTGATTAGTTTGCTTACAGGGGTGTAAAATACTTGTGTAATTGATTGCTTTACTTAAGTATTATTTTAGGGGATTATTATTATTTTAGATTATTATTATTTTAGAAGTCCAATATAAATTGGCTACTTGTACATTTACTTGATTACGTTTCTGAAGAAAAAAGCAATACCTTTTACTCCTTACAATTTTGTTGAAAAGTACTCATTAGATTTTATTTTCTTCCACCTTGCATGCATTAAATATGGTAACAGAAGCTCAAACATGCATGATGAACCAATGATTTTTGTCTTCATGCATCAATCACACAGGTTTTAGCTTCAGTTATAATCAGGGACATTTCTGACCATCAAATCTGAAGAAGTATATTGAGTTACAAATCTTAAAAAAAATTAAATTGAACATTGTATGTAAAATTAGCTGTAAGTTATGCTTAGGGGTGCTCCTAACAGTGTCCATACGATGCATGTGTATGGGACTGCTTCAAAAACCACACAAAGTGAAGTTGGATCAGTATTTCCCAATGCACCATGCACCCTGCACATGGTCTAAAAGGGTTGTCCCTATTCTCTTAATGAGTAATGGGTGTGTTTTGGGCATAACCTGCAATAAACCAATCAGAGTCTCATCTCCCATTCCCTTTAACAGCCAGTTGCGCTTGCGCAATGCCAGATTCGCTATTTACACGGCAAGAGCAAGAGACTGAACTCGTCTCCAGAGAGAAAACAGAGCTGCTCGTGTGCAAGCAAATAGGTAGCCTAATTCTGATACATGCAATGACTATCCATTGTGACATGTAGGCATTTTTATATTTATGTAGCCTACACAGTAATCATCTTTTACATTGTTTTCCTTTAATTTTTTTATATTTGGCATGTTTGTGTGCTGCTGTGTGCCCCAGAGTGTGTAATAAGCAGAGTGTACTCCTGTTGTGGACCCGCCTATAGGCGCATATTACTAACGCACTATTTAAATAACAAAAAAATACTGCGCCATTGACTTTAGACCAGGTTTTATTTGGTCAATGGCACAGTCTATTTCAGTTGCCTCAAAATAGCAACACGCCAACAATGCGCCTGAACACACTTCGTTTTCAGAAAAGCCAGATTCTCCTAGCTGACTTGTTCCACTCATCCAGATTTTGTTCTTCAGAGCTGCACAATGTTTTTTTTTTTTATTAATTTTTTTTACAGCTCTCAATTCATTAAACTCTGTGAAAAACCTGTTGGATCCTTATGACGCATTGCAGTGCATGCTGCACCTTTCGACACAGTGAAAAAAATTTTCCACCTAAAAGAGCTAACATGGATGAGAAATATCTTTTCAAAGATGCCTTACCATATTTGTGTTTTTGAATGTGGGCGACATAATTCTCCATGGGATGACCACAATTCCCTAGGCAGACATTACGCAGAGACAGCGTTCATGGATGGTACATGTCATGACCATGGGAACGTTAAAATCACAACTTTCATTTTTCTTTAAAGAGACAGTCAGTTCTTCTCCAAACATTGAGGCTGATTTGTGGACATCAATGGGAGCATTTCAGCCGGGTTATCTCCCACAGACCTCCCATTGTCCAGCATGTCCCAGTCAAGTTCATGGACGATTGAGGTGGCTCAACTGAGGGCAAGTACAGTCTCTCATTTGGTGCTTGAAACAAGGATAAATTGTCATTTGCAGCATTGGGGAAATGTTTGACACCTTCTGATGCTGACACAGACTGATCCCAATGCTGAGTTGGCTGCCATGCTTTCCCAGGCCCATTGGGATAGAGTGGAATCCTCCATCCTGCCCTGAGCATTCCCACCTAAACAACTCATATATGGGCTTGGAGCATGATGCAAAGCTAATTTTATTAAATCTCTGAGGCAAAGGCTTACAGTGCCACTGGACAGGCCACCTCTATACCCAGGTGACTATAAGACATAAGTGGTCCAGCTTATCTGGAGTCGATTCAGCAAAGCACAGGTGGATCTGTTTGCTTTGCAAGAGTCCTCCCATTGCCCTCTATGGTACTCCCTGACTGAAGCTCTGTTCTGCACGGACGGTTTGGCACACAGCTGGCCTTATGGACTGTGCAAGTATGTGTTCCCCCAAGTGCGCCTGATTGCACAAATGTTTTTTCAAGGTCAGGTAGGAAGGAGAACAGGTCCTGCTGGTTGCACCCTGCTGGCCCACAAATACTTGCTTCTCGGAGCTCATGCTCCCCTCGACGCCCCCTCCCTGGTGAATTGCCCTCCTTCCCCTTCCCTTTCTTTTTGCTAACTAGTGTTCTTCCTGAGAAGATTCACAGAGATTTTGCCATTGGGTAAATGCTTTCATTCCTAGAGGAAAGGTTAGACAGACAGATGTCCCCCTCCACATTGAAAATGTACGTCAGGACTATAGTGGCGTATCATGACACTGTGGAAGGTAGGTCTCTAGGGAAGCACAACCAGATCATTAGGTTCCTCAAAGGCATGAGGAGGCTAAATCCCTTAAAGCTGTGCCTTATTCCTCTCCTTGGTCTTACAGGGTCTGCAGAGGGTTAGGGTTAGGGTTAGGCTAACCCTAACCCTAACCCTAGCCCTTTGAACCCTTTGAGTCAGTTGAGCTTAGTACCTTCTCTTTGAAGACGGCCGTCCTGACCATGTTTACCTCCATCAAGAGGGTTAGGGAGCTGCAATTTAACCAACGTTTCCACTACCCCTTTCGGGGACCAAGTGGTGAACCTGCAAGCACTGCAAGCACACCACGATAATGCGCAGTTTTCCAATCCATGTGTGTTTTCTATTTATGGCGAACCTGGGATGGCAGAGGAATTCTGCTACCAGGCCCGTTATTTGTGGTATGCCTGTTTTTAGATGGGCCTGTCTAATTGGACTAAGTGCTCCATGTGTGGTGATTCCTATATGGTAATCATGTATGCTGTTTTTTTTTTCCATTGTAAAGGTGCCCTGTCATTAACCATGTATATTTCCTGGGCAGAGCCTTACTTGCCACCAGTCTCTGTGGATATGAGCATCTAGCATTGCTTGGTTAGAGCCCATCACAGAGACCTCTTCCATGTGTAGTGCTTCCCACTAGGTAAGCCCACGTGATGTATTCTTCACATACTGTCCTCTCCTCTGGGTAGTGTTTTTTCCAGTGTTTTTCCCTATATGGAAAAATAACCCTTTCCCCGGTGTAAACTAAGGCTCTGCACGGCTGTACATTATTATTATTATTTTATTATTATGGACATTGAGAGGGTTAAGATGTGGTAATTGCTACGAGGCCCGCAGTATCTTCACTGTAAAATCTAATTAGTTGGGCTTACTTAAAAAAAGCATGCAAACCGATTGCGTTGAAAAAACTAAGTAAAGTGAAAAAGGAATAGTATCTTGTACTGACAGATGATTATTTAGTATAGTTTACTTACACAAGAGTTTGA